AGACGTTGAAGTACAAGTAGACTCAGATCTGCACAATGTCTCCAGTTATCGTGAAAGTGAGATCTGATACAATATCTCGTGACCAATAGACGAAGAGAGTGGAGGGGGAATAGACAGATGAGAGGGTGGAAAGAGATGAGCAGTGAGCACACAAGAGTAGCCCAATCATTACCCACTCCTCCGCTGTGTTACCGCGCGTTCCGCGTTCGAGTTTTGAACGCACTGAACGCGCGTTCAGTGAACGCCGGTAAACGCGATTGACGCGTTTGCGCAGGGGGTTGTGCGGGGTGGGGAGGCCCTGCGGGGAGCGGCGGCAGTGTTTGGGGAGCCTGTGGGTGAAGGGCTAGGCGAAACCGGCTCACACACAAAAAAAAAAAAAAACAACGATAACAAACCCATCATAGGCGGAACGGCGACAAGGTACCAAAAAAAAAAAAAAAAAAAACGCATCTCCCCGTGGGCGAGGTCCCACTAGCAATGGGATAGGATAGAAACGAGTTTGTGGGGCCGTTGAGTGACCCAAATCCTGCCGTGCACTACTCGTGACCCCACCGTCAGTATTTTACATGTATTACCCGAAAAAGTAAGGAGATCTTCGTTCCCCTCCTCTCCTTAACACGGGCATGCCCCTGCAAAGAAGCTTCCCGCTAGAATCTTTGCAATCGGTTGGGGGTGTGGCCAACCCCAAACGAGGTTGGGGTTGGCCTTAGCTCACTGGATAGAAGATTTTCAGCATTTTATTTGCTGTCGTGCAATTATCTCATTGGGTGGAGCCCTCCTTCAATCACGGAGTATATGGAGGGTGTCAGGAACACTGCTTACAGAATTCGATTTTATTCCAAGAAAATGTGGTGGTTACTTTGTTCACCGTTTTTGCAACCACCACCATCAGATCATTTGTGATCCAATGGCTGGGAAGCACTCTGCCGTGATTTCCGGTGGGAGGTCTCTGTTTCTTTTTTTTTTTTGGCCTTTTCCTGTTTTCTCAGCCCAGAAATTCGTAATGAACGTGTCTGACCGCTGCCACTCAGTGTCACACTGGATCGGCCACACTCCTATCCGACTGCTAATGGGATCTCGCCCCATTGGGATCGGGGGCAATGGCAGGGGGTGACGCGGTTGGGGGGGGTGGGCCCCCGGGGAGGCTTTTTTTTTTCACTTTCGGGGTTCGTTGAACGAGGGCCACCACCCCGTAGTCCGTGGCATGTGCGAGCGGGGCGCGGGGTCGCGTTCAATTTTTACGCGCCACGTGGCGCGCAGAACGTTTGAACGCGATTGAACGCGGCCCCGTGGGGTATGAACGCGCGCGTTTGAACGGGAATGCGCATTCGGCGCGTTCAACCGGTTGCACAGCTTCTTCGGGCTTCCCCTCGCCTCCACGTCATCAATCAATATACAGTAACAAGTCTAACCAATCCTGATCACAAAAGTGCCTCGTGGCAGTTTCATCTCATGGAGACAATGAAGACAAACAGCAGTGCACGGTATCGACGTCAAACTCAGGTGAGTACCACTTCCCAATCATCCTCAGATCCTGATCTCCCTCCTTGTCACAACCAGTCACCTCATGTAGACAGTGTGGCCAGTGCCACGTCAGCAGTAAAGACAGGTGGCATGCGCCACATCAGCAATGAAGACAGGTGGCCTGCACCATATCAGCAATGTAGACAGGTGGCATGCGCCACATCAGCAATGAAGACAGATGGTCTGCGCCACATCAGCAATGTAGACAGATGCACCACATCAGCAATGAAGATAGGTGGCACGCGCCCCATCAGCAAAGGCTGGCACTCAGCAGAGAAGGCGCAAGCATGCTGCCACAGTCCCACGTCATTGTCCACAGTACCAGCGCACAGCCAGCGTCCAGCTAGAGTCAAGCCAGCGTCGAGGCAGCATAACAAGACCGAATGTTGACCTCCTGGAGACCAAGCCTTTTTGACGAGGCTGTCTGGCCTCGGGTATCCCACCTACAATCGTACAGATTGACTCACAGCCGAGGGCCTGGATTGTGTACAGTTGCAGACTTCCCTTTGGTCCTGATGCTGTCTGGGTACCTGCATACAAACACGTGTGTGCGTCTGACCGGCAACCTGGGCTGGGTAGACTTTGACTTTGACTGTTGGGCGTCAGGCAGTTGAGTTCGGTCAACTGTCGCCCGCTCAGGCCCTGAATGTACTTAGGGTATTTTCTCCCCTGTGGACTGGGTCTGAGTGGTGGCCTGGCGAGGCCCTTAAACATTCCACGAGGCATACTTCATGGGTTATTGCATCTATATCTATCTTTCTATCTATCTATCTATCTATCTATCTATCTATCTATCTATCTCACAGCCCCTCGTTTGTTGTGATAGTCCTCTTCTCCCTCTCTGCCTACGGTTTACCGGGCAGTTCTGTTTGACGATATATATATATATGTTTATCCACAGGTGACTAGCCCCAGGTCAGGCTAGTTTTTTTTTGCCCCCCCCCAACCAATGCAAGATGTGGTTCAGCAGGCTGGACCGCATTCTCCATTCCGTGTAAAGCAATGTTGGTCTCAGCTAGGGAAGACTGTACCTTGGCAGGAAATAGTAACCGGTGTTTCAATCCTGGCCAATTTCAAAGTATGCATTCATGAGAAAGTACTATGCTGTCCCATTGCAAAAGGAAATGAATGAACTTGAGAGGAGAGAGAGGGAAAGAAGAAGAAGAAGAAGATGTACACCAACAATGATTCCCTTCTTCTCGCCAACCACTCAGACTCCTCCTCCTTTTCTTCTCCCCTCTTATTCAAACAATAAAATTGAATAAATAACAATAATAATGTCGAATGGCTGAACCAGAATCAATGTCTGAATCCCTCTTCTACTGCAGGCACAACATGAGGTATGCCATAGCCATGGTCCAAGGGTATGGCCGACTACTAGGGCCTCACTCTGCTGTGCGAGAGACAACTCAAAGCAGCTATGCTCGCTGCTGTTCAGGCCGCCATGCCTGACTCTGTCTTGAAGCCTTCTTGGTGCGGTGCGACCCCAACTGGAGCGTTTCAGGTGCAACGCCTAACAAGGTGATGAAGATGGTGTCCACCATAGCCAGGTAGGTACCTCGCCACTCTCCTCCCTAGTCCTCTTGTTCCTTCTCCTCTTACCGGTAGAGCTCCACCATAGCCAAGGTGGGAGCTCCCGGTCTCCTTCTTCCTAGCAGCGCTGTAGTGCCCAACACTCCTCCAGCGCTCTGAAGCCCAGCGCGTGCTCCAAGCAGTACCGGGCCCAGTGTCCCATATAGAATTATACAAATGATTTGAAATACCAGGGCCACTACCTGGCTTGGGCTTAGAACAATCTGAGAACTATGAAAAAGGTTCTGGGAAAATTAGGAAAATTAATATGGGTAACTGCTAACCTATTGCTAGGCTACTCAAGCAGCACTTTACTACTAAGTCTTTTTTTTTATTTATTGAGATGGTCCTGCCAAGCAGTATCCCTGTCTAGGTTTAAAACAAAAACAAAAGCAAATTTAAAACAGAAATTTAAAGGGAAAACCAAAACGATTTTCCTGACAATACATGCATGCACGGTGCGAGATGTCCGCGCAGCGCAAGACATAGGCGCCTCGCTCCACTACTCTCAACAAGGCCGTGTACATTTCCAAAAGAAGGGCCAGAGGCAGGGGCGGGGGTTGCCGGTGCCCACTGGTGCCCCTGTAGCCCTTCTGTGCTTGGCACAATCTTTCCAGTCTTTTTCTTTTCTCAGGAATTGAGGGGCCACTTGCCCCGGCTTCCAGCTGGACACAGGTTGATGGGCAGATGGCAGGGGGGGTTTGCTCTTTTCTGGGGTTGTTTTCTGCTAATAATGACTGACAGTGTGTGTTTTTAGGCATCCCCAAGTGGGATGAAGAGGCTGTCCGCCCGGAAACGGGACGCTGGAGCCGGTTTCCAGCGTAGTGGATTCTTTCTCACAGAGATCACAGCCTAAGGCTGGTAATGGCCCCACTCCAGGCATTCTTTCCCATTATCCTCCCATATTCTTCATAAGGGACGCTGGGCCTCGTTCCCAGCACGTGCTGCTCCGCACCAATAGATCGCAGCC